AAATGGCATTCAAGTTTCCGCCCCTGACTTTCGTTGGCTGATTTCATAGGATGAAAATTACTTAGGGGGTGAACGGAAGACCTGACTAAGGGTCAGGTGGGGTGGTGATGGTTGCCGATTGATGCTTTCCGGGGCATTGTTTAGGGGCTCAGTCAATTTTTTCCAAATAGGGAAATCAGATCAAAAAAAAAAGATCCAAAATTGGATGAACATAGTTTAAAAATATCTGTTTGGTCAAAAGAGAGGCATTTTAGGAAAAATAAAAAAGAGGAGGGGGCAATTGGAAATCGATATTTTTCAGTTAAAGAGAAAAATTAAAAAAGGGGAATTAGAAAAGCAAAAAAGATTTGGGTTTAAAGTTGAAAAGAGAATCAAAGACTCCCCAAAAGGTTCTTTCGGTAACAGAAGAAAAAAAACAGGGAAAGATGGCCCCCTCAAAATTTCCCTGGGTCAGCTACTGCGTGATAAGGAAATGTGTAGATTTTTAAACCCATACTTCTCCAGTTTTTACCGGGGATCCAGCGTTTTCCCAGAAATGAAAAATTATGTAAAACCAGGACGATAATAAACTGTGTCTATTGGGTCCAAGGACATGGCCTTAGGCAAATGATAAATTAAAAACAAAAAAAACCCCCGGGCCCCTGATGAACTGATGCAAGGGTTCTAAAGGAATGAAAAGAGGGAGCTTAGCCCCTTTGGCAAATCTTTTAAACATTCAAAAAAAACGGGCTGGTCCCGAAAGGGGAAAAATGGAAAATTGTGTACCTTTTTTCAAAACAGGTGACAGGCCCTTTAGTTCGAACTATAGACCAATAAGCCAAAACCCCCTTTGGGGGAAAATTTTTATGGAATCAATAATTGCCGAGGCAGTTCGTAGCCCCCTTAAAAAGCATAAATTTAATCAACAAATTCGTGGTTTTACAAAGGGGGTCCTGTTTACGAAATTTATTAACTTTTTCACTAAGGTATTTGAGGAGGAGATCATGGTAATGAATTTGATTTGTGTATATGGACTTCAGTAAGGGTTTTGACGGGTCCCACATCAGAGATATTGAGGAAAATTAAAGCACATGGAATAGGAGGAGAAATTTTTTCCTGGGTAGAGGATGGTGACAAAAAGCAGCAGAGAGTTTGCTAAATGGGGGGAAAAAAATCAGAGTGGGGAAGTGTCCCAGCGGTGTTCCACGGGGGCAGTGTTGGCCCCCCGTTTCCAAAATTTCATAAACGCATAGAGAGGGCTAAGAGCGCATCGGCAAGTTTGCGATGACACCAAATAGGCCCTCGAATTTATTCGGGCGAGGCTTCGAGCATCCCGGAAGATTTTGAATAGATGATGCAGTGGGCGGAGAAGTGGCAGATGCAGTTTAATATAGACAAATGCAAAAATTTAATGTTGGCGGCAATATCATGCCCCCAAAAAACTAAAAAATGTAGTTTAAAATTAGGTTGCGAAAAAGATTTAGGATTTGGTTAGCAGTAATCTGAAACCAAGCAAAAGTGCATAAGTGTTCGCAATAAAAACTAATAGAATCCTTGGGTTCATATCAAAAAGCTAAAAATAGGGGGTCCCAGGTTGTTCTTCAACTCTTACATCTTGGTTAGGCCTCATTTGATTATGCTGCCCCGTTTTGGTCACCCATTAAGAATGGATATAAATTTTTCTGGAAAAATTCCCCAAAAAAGGGGTGACAAAATTGACCCCTTTTATAGAAACCTTCCCTTTTTAGGATGATAAGGGGGCCCGAAACTGCACTCTTTTGAAAGACGGTAGAATAGGGGGGATATGTTTTAGGTGTATAAATGGAAGACAGGAAAAAATAAAGGGGATGTAATAGTGTGCTGAAAAAATCTAGCCCGACAGGATCCAGCAATGGTTTTTAAATTGGAAAAAAATTTTAGATTCAGGAAGGATATAGGAAAGTACTGGTTTGGTAATAGAGTTTTGGGGGTGAGTGGAACAAACTCCCAAAATACCTTATAGAGGGCCCGAACGTTGTTAGCTTTAAAATAGGTTGGTAATCATGAGTGGTGTGGGGGGGGTTTTGAGTTAGACTGGTTGTGCTACCGGTCGGTTCCGTTTCCTCCCTTTTAAATCAATGTGACCCGACCTGACTGTTGGGGCATTGGCTTAAGCCGGTAGGAGACTTGGACCTGCCTCGCATGGGCATAGGCCTTTGCAGTGTCCTTCGTTTTATGTTCTTATGAAAGAGGCGTCCCCGCCCCCGAAGGGGTGGCGCAAAGTCTCAAATTTGTATATCTTTCTCCAGTACGTGTTTGGGGTTTTTTAGGGCCCCCACAGTTCATGCTGCACTAAAACCATACCCCGGGGGATTGAACCCCCCGGGGCAAGAGCTCAAAACTTGCATTTTGGGGCCAAATGGTGCCTGTGCTAACCTTCCTATGGTGTAGTATAAACCCGTTTGGGTGAAATTTATTGTGGCTAGCTGGTCTAGTGGCTAACGGACGGGCTGGTTTTTTGAGACTTTGACCGCGGGTTCAATCCCCGGGCCGGGGGTATGGTTTGTTTGCAATCAGCCATTACGATTTTTGGTCATGCTGCCTGGAGTTTACCTGGAGGAGTTCCCGGGGGTCAACGCCCCCGCGGCCGGTCGTGACCGGCCTCCTGGTGGGTCAGAGCCTGATCAAAAACCGGCTGTTGCTGTGGATCACGAAACCAACGTACAAGCCCCGCCCCCGGGTGATCAGGAACTGACTTTAGGTGCTTGTCAGTGCCAGCTTGAAAATGCCAGGGAGGCAGTTGAACAGTCTCGGGCCCCCGCCTTTTTTTTTGGTCTTTAAGTGCTAGGGCCCCCTGCTTTTCTTGGGGGGGGTGGTGCATCGTCTCCAAGTTTTTTTTGCTTTCGTAGTGAGTGATTTTGTGTGCAAAATTCGGTACTAGTCCTCTGGTTTTCCCGGGTGTATTAATATGTATCTCTCCCTCCTGCGTTCCAGGGAATACAGGTTTAGGAACCTCAAACGCTCCCAGTAATTGAGGTGTTTTATTCCCTTATGCGCGCCGTGAAAATTCTTGTACATTTCTAGGTCGGCAATTTCACCCGCCGAAAGGTGTGTTAGTGTGCAGAATATTCCGCCTAGATAGAACAAGTGATGAAAAGTGTCTCTGGGCTTTGGCTCCCTAGTTTGAAGGTTTCTTATCCTCCGTCATTTTTTTAGCAGATGCGATTTTATACAATGTTATGGTCCTTGAAGGTGGTCCCCCGACATGATCAACCCAGGTCTTTGACGTTTGGGGTTTCGCTCTTTTTTGGGCCCGAAATTTTTTTTGTATCTGATGAAGATTTAATTTCCCATGTTTCCTATCTGAGTAATTGAAATTTCTCATCGTTGAACTTATATTTTTTTCTGAGCCCACTAAAGATTTGGTTGAGTCCGCGGAGCCTTGCAGTGTCTGCAATGGAAGACACTGTCATGCAGGGTTCGGGTGTCATTTGCCAAAAGGAAAACACGGTTGCTGTGGCTGACATCCTTGTCTATGTCGGTATGGGATGAGGGAAAAAGATGGGAGCGGTACTGTGCCTTGTGGAAAAGAGCTTTTTTCCGTAGCTGCCTCGGCTTTACTCGGGTTTACGACTACTCTCTGTGTTCTGTTAATGAGGGGGAAAATTTTAGATCCATCGACCCACTTTTCCCGTTATTTTTTAGCACCTATGCTGTATGTTGTAATCTAGTAACTGATTTGGTATACCCGGGCCCGGTGGGCCCGGTGGTTTAAAACTCCCGCTTCAACCGGAGGGCCGGGTTCGATTCCGGCGGGTGGGAAAAAAATTTTGGACACGTTTCCTTAACCTGTTGTTTCCCGTTCACCCAGCAGAAATAGGGAAACCTGGGTGTTAGTCGATGGTGTGGGTGCATCCTGGGGGACAAGATTAAGGACCCCCAAAGGAAATAGTTGACGTCCTCATGCGCCGACTTTCTTGGGTTATCTGGGTGGTAAAACCCCCCGGGGTTAAAAAACCGAACGAAATCTTATTTTTTATCTTATTTTCTGTGCAGTTTCCTGCCCACTGCTGCGCCGCCCTCCCTCCCCCCTTGGAGCAAATACCGAAACCCCTTATTCCCTCCACCCTGCCTGCAGTACATTGTACGACTTACAACCCAAGTGGTTGGGCCCCTAACCTTTTTTAGCTCTCCTCACTCCCATCCTTTTTCCAGTATTTCCACCTTCCCCTTCCTTCCCATCTTACCAAGCTTGGGGTGTGATTGATGGTCCCGGGATGCTTTAGGGATTGTCAGCTCCCCCTTTAAAAAACCCGGGGTTATTGTTAATTCCCCCTTTAAAGGTTTGGGGGGAGGCTGCTGAACGGTCTTTGGGCCCCCGGAATTATTGTGTTTGGGTTATCCCAGTTAATTTTCCCCAGTTACTATGTTGATAATACTTATGTGTACCCGTACTGTACCCCCAAAAGAAAAATCTCTGAATATTGTGTTATCTAGGTAATTAACACTATGAAATTGTCTTTGGGAATAAGTCACTGACTTTTTAGTGGGGTTTTGCCCAGGTAATTTACTACATGCTATATATGATAATTTTTGAAACTGTATTCATGCGTACCTGTATTAAATAAAAATTTCTTGCTTGTTTAATAAAAAATAACCAGTTTTTTAGGGGATGATTCCCGCTAAGGGTGGAGAGGTCCCCCGGTTCATTATTTTTTATAAACAAGGGGGAAACGCTAAACCCCGGGGGTTAACAGCGCTGGGGGGGGGTGTGGAAGGCATTCAGGTTAAATTGGGGAATGGAGAAGATCCAATTTCCCAAAACAAGAGCCCCTCACCAACATCAAGGGAACCCACCTTGAGGGGGTCCGGGTTCAACTCCCGGACAGGCTCGCTGACTTTTTAAGGACCCCAATGGAAATAAGTCACATTATCTGACTTTTTTGGGTTATTCTGGGTAATTTACATATATGCTATTATATATGACAAATTATGTAGCTATTTATGTGTACCAGTACCCGAATAAACTTACTTAAGGTGGTGAAGTAGATGGTAGTGTGTGCTCGGCTCCTCCAGCTCTCTCATCCCATAACATGAACTTTTGAAGGGAAACTAGCGTTATCCCATAACAAGAACAGAAACACGTTGCAGGATGCCTCAGGGAAGCTTTAAAAAGAATAAAAAGGGACCACAGGTTCCTACGAAGCTGAAAAAGGGAAAACGACAAAACCCTCTCAAGATGAAGAAAGGAGGTAGGTGAATGCTTTATATGTAATGAGTCAATGTCACTGACTTTTTTTTTGAGTCATCCTAGGCAATTTACAGTGATAATTTTATAATCATTATAATCTTTATTTCTGCAAGTACATGTACAACGTATACAAGCTTAGCTGATATCAGTGACATGCTATATAGAAAGCCCCTTGTTATGTAGAGCATTTCGGGCCAATTAGGTCAATTTTGTCCCCAGGATGCGACCCACACCAGTCGACTAACACCCAGGTACCAATTTTACTGATAGGTGAACAGGAACAGCAGGTGTTTTAAGGAAACACGTGCTGATGTGGCCACCTGTACCGGGGATCGAATCACGGACCTCAATGTGTGAGATGAGTGCTCTTGCAATCGAACTCTGGGACTCCCCTACAAAGGTACCTTAAAATGCTGTTGATGATTGACCTTTTAAAAAAATAGTTGCCTTTTTTTAATTATTATTGTTATTATTATTATTACCGTAATTCAGTAATAGGAGTCTTCGGCTCAACTGAAAAGCCCCTTAAAGGGTTTCTTTATACTGGTGAAAGGCTCTTGATATAATGTGATAGCCATTTACAAGGTGGAGATAGGTCCCTATCTTCATATTATGGACCAGTCAGCCTAACCTCATTTATGGAAAAGTTGATGGAATCAGTAAGTGTAGATGCAATTCTAAGCAAGTCACCTTGAGGTATTATTCAGCGAATTTCATCATACAAAGGGACATTCTTGCCTTATAAATTTACTAGCCCTTTTTGTTAGGGTATTAGAATTGATTATTTTGTATGTGTAAGATGCACAGTAGTATGAGTTAATTTTATGTATGTATATCAAGTGAGTTTAGACTTTTGAAGAGTGAGGGAGTGTGTTGTCTGGCACTAGACTGAGTAATCATTCATACAGCTACTTTTTGTTGAACTGTATGATCCTTGTGGGTTTAGTGCTTATTTTTTGTAATATTATTGGCTTAAGGTGATTTGCTGTAGTGGATCCCTAGGCACAAATAGCATAGGTGAAGAAGGAATAGATTAGAGAGTAGTATAGTGTAAGTAGTTCTGTTTGAGGTACATAATAATGTATCATAGAGAAGATTCCGACTTACTGGTATACATTTTTTGATACGTGCTGAACGTGGGTGTTGAATTTCAAGTTGCTGTCATGGAACAGACCTAAGAATTTTCCTTCATTTATCTTGCAATGGAAGAATCATTAATCATAACATTTAGATAAATTAGACACATGTGCAACTCTTGGGTATCTTTATTGAGGAAACGTTTCGCCACACAGTGGCTTCATCAGTCCATACAAAGGAGAATCTTGAAGAACAGGAGGAGAATGAGGTAATCAGTCCCTCAACCTTGAGTCGATGTGGTCAGTCCATCAATCTTGAATAGAATACGGCATACGTGCTGAGAAGGAGCTTATAAACCGTTGGCAGGAGAGGTGCAGCAGTCATAGGTCGTGTAACATTTGTTCAATGTTGAAGTAGGTCGTGCCCAAGAATTAGGCAAGCGAAGAATTCCCAAGTATTAAGATCCCAAGAAGTTGCAGTGTCTGACAGGTTTGTAGATGAATGGTTCAGAGAACCGACATGTTGATAAATTAGACACATGTGCAACTCTTGGGTATCTTTATTGAGGAAACGTTTCGCCACACAGTGGCTTCATCAGTCCATACAAAGGAGAATCTTGAAGAACAGGAGGAGAATGAGGTAATCAGTCCCTCAACCTTGAGTCGATGTGGTCAGTCCATCAATCTTGAATAGAATACAGCATACGTGCTGAGAAGGAGCTTATAAACCGTTGGCAGGAGAGGTGCAGCAGTCATAGGTCGTGTAACATTTGTTCAATGTTGAAGTAGGTCGTGCCCAAGAATTAGGCAAGCGAAGAATTCCCAAGTATTAAGACCCTAATTCTTGGGCACGACCTACTTCAACATTGAACAAATGTTACACAACCTATGACTGCTGCACCTCTCCTGCCAACGGTTTATAAGCTCCTTCTCAGCACGTATGCCGTATTCTATTCAAGATTGATGGACTGACCACATAGACTCAAGGTTGAGGGACTGATTACCTCATTCTCCTCCTGTTCTTCAAGATTCTCCTTTGTATGGACTGATGAAGCCACTGTGTGGCGAAACGTTTCCTCAATAAAGATACCCAAGAGTTGCACATGTGTCTAATTTATCAACATGTCGGTTCTCTGAACCATTCATCTACAAATCATAACATTTAGTTGGACATTTGTAGCTCTGTTCCCAAACATTATGTAGAAGGTCTTATCAATGTTAAGAGTGAGATTATTGGGAGTTATCCAGGTAGATATCTTTATGAGCTCATCATTGCTGTTGAGAGAATTCTGATTTGGGTGAGAGATGACGGAAGCCATGTCATCTACAAACAGAACGGGTCTAAGTTGTTGGAATTTTGAAGATCATTGATGTATATGACAAAAGCAGAGATTAGATTTAGATTTTGCCACTGAAGTGGCTGGTTTATTGTGCGCCTCATATCCATCCTGTGGACAGTAGCGCAAGAGCATATGAATACACAAAAGGCCTAGGAATTAGGTCACAAAAGGGTTAAGTGTACATTTGGATTTATATCTACAGTTCACTTATCTGGTATCTTATTTTCATTAATAACATATCTTGATATGTCACATAGGTTATTATATTCTCTCTCTCTATATTCCTCAATAAGTAGACAATTAAGCACATAGTGTTCAAGACCATGACCATATGCCTGACCACATAATTTGCATTTGGTTTGATTATCTGTGTATCTCCCAAACTGCCAGAAGTACTTGTAACCAAGCCTAAGCCTAGCCTCTACAACATCAGTCTGTTCACGTTGCAAGTTGCTCCATAATCATACTTATCTACATTCATGTTATCATAGTGGGTTATAGATCTACTCAGGCTTCTAATTGCATTCCTATAACATTAATTTTCATTAATTACTTCTCACCTAATATTACTCCAAATGCTAGACACAGATATACCAAAGTTATATTCTACATTCTCCTTCAGGGTACTCCTCTTGGCTAACATATCAACTAAGAAGAGTACCCTGAAGGAGAATGTAGAATATAACTTTGGTATATCTGTGTCTAGCATTAGGAATAATATTAGGAGAGAAGTAAACAATGAAAATGAATGTTATAGGAATGCAATTAGAAGCTTGAGTAGATCTGTAACCCACTATGATAACATGAACGTAGGTAAGTATGTTTGAAAAACAAAGGGACTAAAATAGTGACATAAGTTTGCTGATGACACGAGAATAAGTCATCAGATAATTTCTGATGACACCAGAAAGCTACAGGATGATCTGGATAAGTTGATGTGGTTGGAGAAGTGGGAAATGCAGTTCAATGCAGACATATGTAAGGTTCTAGTCTTATGAAAATAAAATAACTATGGTTCAGTAACCTACTGGTAAATGTTGTAAATATTAGGCATGTTCACCTGAACCTTGTTAATTAAAAATTTGTAAATTAATGAATTCAGTCACAAAATTTAAAAACATTTGAACATAATATAGCTGTTTTCTTGAAACGGTTGTTAATATCTCTCTAAATTGTCATTAAACTTTTTATTTCCAACTTATAATAAATTACACTATGTTCCTTAACTTTTTAAAAATTAATCATATCTTCAAATTCAAATTCTTTATTTCAACATGATAGTACAATGCTTGTACAGAGATGGGTAACATTTAGGTGTACATGCAGAAAGTCCTTAGTATGCAGTGCAAAATATTTTGGGCAAATCTTCAACCAGTATTACTGTATATCATTACTTTCTTATTTGTTTTTTAATTAATTTAGCATTAAATCATAATGTCTTCACCAAATGCTGAGTTTTCACCAATATTTCTATTATAGTACTGTACAGTATTATATAATTTTATGTACATATTTAGTGTGTTCTGTACTACATTTATATAGTATGTATGTTCTCAGGTACTCCTAGCTTAAGACTTTCTGAAATACTATCCATAACTATGGGTTTTTTCTTGTAAGAAATATGCACTTTAATGGTTCTTCTTGGGAGATACTTATTATTAAATTTGTTGCAATAAGGTAAGTAATGTGTGTACTGTATATTAATTTTTTTAGGCCTAGCTATATTGCTCACTTAATACATATATGATGGTGTAAACGTGTTGTTAGGCTTTAATATGCATTTGAAAGTGAAAAAAGGCTATGGCTCACTTTACAGCAACTTTTGCTTTACAACGGTAACCTGGAACCTAACCTACTGTATATGGAAGAATTTTTCCCAGTACAAAAAACTCATGGCACTTCTGACCAATTTACGACTTGGTAATGTCAGTGAGATTACTGACATTAAACCTAACCTAGCCCTACCTAAACCTAGATTGTAATGTTGGATAACTTGTTATATTTTAAAGTCATTGAACCTTCCACCAGGATAACTTACTGATGTAAGTGATTTGAAAAACTGTTGACATTACTGACACCATTCAGTTTTAATCAGTACATTTTATTTATTTTAAATCTGCTGTAGTTTGTTTATCAGTCTTACCTATTAAACATATATGAATCTGCAGAATTCATTTGATCTCAAATCCTTGTATTTTTTTTTTTTTAAATTTTGCATTTATGTAATAGTTGTGGATTAATTTTTGTGGCTTGTGTATTCCTTTTTGACAAAATCTGGGCTAAAATTAATCCATTAAATACTGGTATCTATTAATTTCAGGACGTACAATTGCACCAAAGAAAGCCAAGGCACAAGAGAGAATGTTTGTACAAAAACAGTTACAGAAAGCCATTAATGCCAATATTGAACAAGATATGAAACAAAGAGCATCTAAGGACTGTACATCTTTTAAAGTATGTATCACTACATTCACGAAACTTCTCAAAACTTATGTGGGTTACACACTTTCATTACACAGTATGCACCATGGAAGTACTACATATTAATTGCTGTGACTTACATACAATTATGCTTGATTTTCTTTTAAAAAATTGGTCATATCCTGTAAAGAAAGAGATCTTAATTTTGTGATTACAGTACCTTATTTGTAACATAGTACCTATTTGTAGCAGCAGGAAAAGAGCAAAGTTTGTCATGTGGTTGTAGCACACACTTTCTTCTCTTGCAAATTTGTCTATATTTTTAAAGGAAAGCCTTCTATGGCAGTATGCTTTCAGCAGTGTTTTCTTAGTTTATGATCTTTTGATCTGCCAGTTGATGGATGAGGCTTGAATCTCTGTTAATTCTTTTATAATCTTTAATTCGGTTATAATGTCTCCTCATTTCCTTCTTATTTGTACTTTGTTTTTAATGCAAGAAGCATTTTGCATTTTATCTTTTGACTTTTTTTTAGCTTGTCCACGTGTTCTTTAGGTGTGAACAACATACCGATACATCATAGTTCACTTTTTATCTAGTGTCTATAGTGAACAGCTTTTTCAATATTCATTCATTCATATACACTAAAGGCTAAAAAATTTAGCATTGAAGAGTGATTTTCCAATGATCTTTGATGGCAGTTTCTCTTAGGCCCTTGTAATTTTTTTTTATCTTTATTTTTTCTTACATGGTTTATAATGCATAGGATGTGTAGTGCATAGGATTTTTGCATCATATGCAAACTTGTTCATGCAGTAACCTCTCAGTTATCAGTAGGGTTACATTCCTGAAAATCATCATCTAATCTAAAATAGCATTAAGTGATGTGAGGACCATATTCAGAGATTGGGTTATGTTCCAAATGCCTCTGAATTTGCTAAACTTTTTTTTTTTTTTTCAACGAACTGGCAATATCCCACCAAGGCAGGGTGACCTAAAAAGAAAAACTAAAGTTTCTCTCTAAATTTAGTAATGTATATAGAAGAAGGGGTTACTAGCCCCTTGCTCCCGGCATTTTAGCCATCTCCTACAACATGCATGGCTTATGGAGGAAAAATTCTGTTCCACTTCCCCATGGAGAAAAGCAGAAATAAACAAGAACTAGAACTAGCAAGAAAATAGAAGAAAATCCAGACGTGTGTGTGTATATATTCTTTCCTTTATTTCAACACACCGGCCGTATCCCACCGAGGTGGGGTGGCCCAAAAGGAAAAACGAAAGTTTCTCCTTTTACATTTAGTAATATATACAGGAGAAGGGGTTACTAGCCCCTTGCTCCTGGCATTTTAGTCGCCTCTTACAACACACATGGCTTACGGAGGAAGAATTCTGTTCCACTTCCCCATGGAGGTAAGAGGAAATAAACAAGAACAAGAACTAGAAAGAAAATAGAAGAAAACTCAAAGGGGTGTGTATATATATGCTTGTACATGTATGTGTAGTGTAACCTAAGTGTAAGTAGAAGTAGCAAGACGTACGTGAAATCTTGCATGTTTATGGGACAGAAAAAAGACACCAGCAGTCCTACCATCATGTAAAACAGTTACAAGTTTCTGTTTTACATTCATTTGGCAGGACGATAGTACCTCTTTGGGTGGTTGCTGTCTTTTTATAAAAATTATACTCTGTAAAAGAATAATTACTTCAAGCATTTGAAGAGTGTAGGTAGGGTTAATGTGGGCCTCCTGGGCTGTATTGGATGCTCCATGTTTTATCGTCTGAAATAAACTCAGTGTGTGTAAACCTCTTAAAAATAAAAGCCATATTTCCTTACCAGATTGTACCAAACATATAGGAACTCACCACATCTATATTAAATGAACAATTAGCAGAGTTAGGTATCACAACAACTTTGCTAATGACACGACTTTTGTCATCTCCCACCCAAATCTAGCCTCACTCAGCACTATTGTTAATGAAGAGCTTGCAGTAATAGCAACCTGGATGACTGTCAGTAAACTTACACTTAATACAGACAAAACTTTTTACATTGTGTTTGGGAGTAGAGCAAGTGAATTCCAACTAGTCATTATGCTTAACAACACCCTTATTGCTAAATATAATGAGGGAAAATTCCTGGGTCTGCACCTTGACAGCAACCTGAAATTCAAAACCCATATCCGACACATAAAAAAAGTCAAACGGTTGGCAACTTCTCATACGTTACTATGTACCACAGACAGTACTACTTACACTATACTTTTCACTGATCTACCCCAACCTCACCTATGCTATTTGTGCCTTGGGCTCTACAACGACAAATCACCTAAAACTAATAATAACCCAACAAAAAGCTGCAGTGCAAATGATCACACAATCCACTGCTAGACAACACCCCCCTCCCCCACTCTTCAAAGACCTAAACCTACTCACTATACAAAATATTCACTCGTACTATTGTGTAACCTACATTTACAGAACAATCAATTCTAACATAAATTCCGACATAACATAACACTAGGCACAAAAACCTCTATGACATTCCCCGTGTCAGGCTAAATCTTTTCAAAAACTCGCTGTGCATAAAAGGACTAAAAATCTGGGACTCTTTGCCAGAAATCTCCGGAACCAGAGGCTCAGCTAGCATTTTGAAACTACAGTTAAAAAACACCTTATCTCCTCAACCTACCCCAGCCCATCTTTAATACATATCTAAAAACTATACATGCATTTGCTCAATATCATGAACATAGATAAAACTTTATAATCAGTATATGTATACTTAATCTCAATATCTGTATTCATCTCAAATGTTAATCACTCCATTGTGTCCCCCTAATGTTAATAATCAAAATTGTAATTCTTCTCTACAAAACTTATTAAAGCCATATAGCACAACTTAATGGAATACTCATTTCTCTTGTATTCATTGTAACTCGCCTAATGACCATATGTACTGTTATTGCCTTATTAATCTTAAGTTAGTTTTAAGTTTGCCCAAAATGTTTTGCACATAAAGGGGCTTTTGGTATGTACACCCAACTATTATAAGTATTCCTTTGTACAAACATGTATCATGTTGAAATAAATTATTATTATTATTATTATTATTATTATTATTATTATTATTATTATTATTATTAATAATAATCAAAATATTCAAGGCAGCCTCAGGAGCTTTGTTGTTATAGTTTATAGTCATTGAAAGCTTATGCTGTATTTGACCTGTATGTTAACTTTGGTAAGAATAGAAGCCACATTTCCTTACAAATTGTCCACATCTATACTAAACAAATATATCTTAAGGACATTTAAGAGAGTAATAACTCAGTAAAATGAAGTGATGTTGTAATAAAATGGTGTGGAAAAGTGTCCAAGAGATGTGGAAAAGTTCTATATAGTGCCTTAACTTGTCAGTTAATCTTAATTATCTTTAAACTTTTATTTTGTATGATCTGTACATGAGGTGTCAGTATTGTGCTTAGGGGAAAAGAAAGCAGTACCACATGCTTTGGGTAAAGCAAAGTCAGAATCATTAATGAAATAGGATTAGTAAATAATAGCTTAGGACCAGTAAATAACTAAATAACTTTCAAGAAATTTCAGGTTTTATATTCAAGCGCATTATTTAACCCTTAAACTGTCCAAATGTAGATCTACGTTTGCGCGCGTAGCGCTCTGACCTCGATTTTCTCCATAAGAAACAATGTTAAAAAAACATAGATCTACGTTCGGGGCGCTACCCAAGCAAATGTAGATCTACATTTGGACAGTTTAAGGGTTAAGTACAGTGGTACCCCAAGTTTTGTACAGCTCCCAACTCAACAATTATGTAAGTGTATTATTGTAAGTGCTTTTGTAAGTGTATTTTTTGGGGGTCTGAAACAGTAATCTAATTTACATTATTCCTTATGGGAATAAATTCATTTGGTAATGGCACTCGAACAGCCTTCTGGAACAAATTATCGCCGAAATTCTGGGTACCACTGTACAAATACTTTTTTTTTTTTTTTTAGAGTGAATGACTGTATTCATGAGTAAAGGCATGTGAAAGGTGTGATTTTTGAACTTAGCCAAGTAATATCCATAGGTTTCTGCAGTATTCTCTACTCGGAGCATGGCATTGATATACACTTGTGTACATTGCTGCATAACAGCCACTGCCTTACTACACCTCTTAATAAATGTTGGGCATTTTCTGACATGGCTGTTTGTATTATGTTTTATTGTTATTTATTGTTTTTGTTATTTTTTGCAAAACCTTTTATACATGCAATGATAAAAATGCTGAAAACAGCATAAATATACGTCATTTAATCATGCATCAGTGAGCACTCCTCCTCCAGACATCAGTTATAGCACCTACACTGAACCTAAACTCATCCCTGTCCAGAGAAAACTCCATCCATTTAGTAATGATGCTGGATGGTGATTTTTAATGAATTAACAAAAAATGTAAAAAAAAATAAAGTGAAAAAATTGCCAAAAATTCAGTAATTATGGAGGAATATATTACCTGTGATGTCATCACATGAAATGTTGTAATTATGATAATTCACTTTAGAAATATTGTAAGGAATTGAGATTTGCATCAAAATGTTGCCAGATTTTAGGAATTTTTTCAGTAAACTTATTCTTTTTTCAATTTTTTTTTATTACATGTATGCTCTACCAAAGAAAGATATGTACCAGGAAGCCAAACACCTTCAGTGAAAATCATGTGTTGATTAATCATTCAGAATTTTACTACCTTGATAGATAGGTTAAGTTATATTCATCCTTATTTTTCAATCTAATGAACCAGAATACATGACTGGGCGACTGTACTGCATGGCTTACAACTATGTAAAATGTACTTTTTTTTCCATTGTTCCAACACATTTTAGCATTTTATGTACAAGTTCATGTTCATATTTTGTTCAGAGGATCCTTGAGCTTTGATATGTAAAGTTAAGCCATGTTTATAATTTATTTGGTAGCTTAACAAGATAATGGATGATTGAGAAATTGAAGGGCTTGAATACATCCTCCACTTAGCTGACTCCAAAGTGAAGCATTTATATTACAGTGCTAAAACAGTAAATGGTTTTCAAATCTCACCTTTCTTTATTTTTATCATTACTGTACATAAACACTGGCATGTAAGAGGTTTCCTTATACAGTGGAACCTCGGTTATTGAATGCCTTACTTGTCGAACAAATTAGTTTTCGAATGAGGAGTTCAAAAAAAAAATGTCCTGGTTTTCATACTTGCTCTTGGTTGTCGACGGACAGTGCAAACGGGACAAAGAGGCTCACCATATCCACTTTTATTATTTATTTATTTATGTCTTTGCAAATAGTACATTGAGATTATGTATTTACAATAATGGGTTGCAATGCAAAGAGAGCCTCTATTATGCCTAGGCATTATGGGCCGACTTAACATTATTGGCTTTAACCTTTTCGGTGTCAGTCTCGTTGTATAGCAGCTTTGAAGCCAGTGTCGGTCCCTTAGTATGACACCATAAGCTCAGCTCACTCAGATAAGCTGAGAGTGGTAAATTTGGGCCTAGAAATGAGAGAATGGGTCTGTGTGGTAAGTGTGCACCACATAAAAAAATCCTGCAGCATGCAGTGAATCATGAGAAAAAACTGTGACCGTGTTTTTGGTTTAAAACTGCAGCTTTGTGGTGTATTTTCTTATGGGTTTTATGGTTGTATTCTTGGTTACTTGGTCCCATTTGATAGAATGGAAGATAAATTACAGAAATAGGATGATTTTGATTAGTTTCATGACTGAAAGTAGCTTGAAATTGAGATAAAATAGCAGAAATGTTTGATTTATTGCTGATATTCCAGAGTACACAAATGATGTCACTTGTCCAATACACATCCAACTGGCTGGTCTAATATGCATTCACAAATGGGTTGACATTATTTATACAACTACTACAATAATGCAGTAGTCTGTATAACTAAAAATCCTATTTTTTTTGTGATTAGAAATTCAAAATGGAAAGCAGGTGTAATATAAGAGGGGCCTGGAGATGTGACTAATGAACAGAGGAAATGTTTTTTTTCAGTGCCAGGAATGTCTGCCATGTTTATTCTGGACCCTATTTTTAAATTGGCATTTTTTAATTTTGTGTGAAATTGGCCAAATCACCGATTTCCGATCACTGTATTGAGTAGTTGAAGTAGGTAAATGCGCAGTTTCCTGTACTCAGTAGAATAGAAGGAATACTAGCAAAATAGCTGAGTTTGGTCAACTGGAACAATGGAATTGGCCCAAAGTAGGGCACAAAGTGGGCAAAATCGCTGATGCATATCGCCATGACTGCTAACTTTGCAAGAACATAATTCCAAGGTGTTAGTGGTGAAAAGAGACAAAGAAGAGAAAGCACACCAGAAGGAGAGTTGCCTGACACGTTATTCAAAGGTGACTCCTTCCAAGCAGTAATGTATCCTCCCTCGTTTCCACCTCCTGCTTCCAGTATGCCATTAGCTCTCCTCTGACAGGTAAGAGGCAGTTAAATTTTCATTTACTACTGTACAGTATCTCAGCTAAAGTTTCTATTAGTATTCATTTTTACAGTTTTAACCCTTTGACTGTCGCGGCCGTATATATACGTTTGCGAGGTACCGTGTTTGACGTATATATACTCATAAATTCTAGCGGCTTCAAATCAGGCAGGAGAAAGCTAGTAGGCCCACATGTGAGAGAATGGGTCTGTGTGGTCAGTGTGCACCACATAAAAAAATCCTGGAGCACGCAGTGCATAATGAGAAAAAAAAAACTCCGACCGTTTTTTTTAATTAAAATGCCGACTTTGTGGTCTATTTTCGTATAGTATTTGTGGTTGTATTCTCGTTTTCTTGGTCTCATTTGATAGAATGGAAACTATATTATAGAAATGGAGGTGATTTTGATTAATTTTACTATAAAAAGAACCTGGAAATGGAGCACAAAGTACAGGAAATGTTTGATTTTTGCCGATGTTCAAAAGTGAACAAATGATGTCATTGTCCAATAAATGTCCAAATAGCCATTCTAATACGCAGTCATGAATGGGTTGATGTAATTTTTACAATTATTACAGTATTGCAGTAGTCTGCATAACAGTAAATCTTCTATTTTTGTTTGAATAAAATTTCAAAATAAAAAGCAAGAGTAATATCACAGGGACCTGGAGACATGACTGATGAACAAAGAAAATGTTATTTTAGAGCCAGGAATGTCTGCATTGTTCATTCTGGACCTTATTTTGAAATTGTCGTATTTTTTAATTTTCGTGAAATTGGCCAAATTGCAAATTTCTGACCATGTTATTGGGTAGTTGAAATCGGTAAATGGGCAGTTTCTTGTACTCAATCGATAGAAAAAATAGAGTTCTGAAGAAATAGTTATGAGTTTGGTTGACTGGAATAACGGAATTAGCCGAAAATAGGGCTCAAAGTGGGCGAAATTGCCGATTTTTTAAATATCGCCGAAGTCGCTAACTTCGCGAGAGCGTAATTCCGTCAGTTTTCCATCAAATTTCGTTTTTTTGGTGTCTTTACAATCGGGAAAAGATTCTCTATCATTTCATAAGAAAAAATAATTTTTTTTTTTTTCGAATATTTTGCGACACCAGAAGCAACTTCAGGATTTGGCCCTTCGACAGTCAAAGGGTTAAGTAGTAGTTAATACGTTTTTAGTAAATTATTATATTGTCATTTGGGGTTTGGAACGGATTACTTAATTCTATTTACATTATTCTTTATGGGAAAAATTGCTTTGGTTGTCGTCTGTTTTGGTTGTTGAATCGACATCTGGAACAAATTAAATTCGACAGCTGAAGCTCCACTATGATGGTAAATGTCAGAATCATTATAATTTTATTTAGGGGAAAGCACTAGGGTTGTCATTGAGTGCCTGGAGAATAGTGGCAGTCAGGTCTATTTCAAGGAAATGGAGAACAGGTTCAACTCCATGAATCAGGAGCCCCACACTAACATCAAGGAACTTCCCTTAAGGTGTGTTTATAGAAGTCACAAGAAATAAAATACAGTGGTACCCTGAGTTCCGTACGGCTCTCAACTCGAACAGTTATATAAGTATGTTATTGTAAGTGCTCTTGTAAGTATATTTTTGGGGGTCTGAAACGGTCTAATTTAATTTACATTATTCCTTATGGTAACAAATTCGTTCAGTAATGGCACTCGAACAGCCTTCTGAAACTAATTATGGCTGAAACTTGGGGTACCACTGTATCTGTTTATTAAAGAAAATACTGCACTATGAGACATTCTTAAGTGATATGAGTTGTGTCCTGTTCATTATTTTTTTGTTTGTTCTGAAAGCCTTGTACTTTAAAATATATATTGAATGGGGTTAGCTTTTAATATGTTTGGAATGTAATCCAGTTTTTCCCATGTTATTAAGTTTGTGTATTGCATTTTTACAATATTTGCAAATTTTAGGGAGTGTAACCCCACTTCTTGTGAGAGTTAACTGTATTGTCATTATACAGTATTCTTTTATATATAATGTACTGTATGTATTTTTTTTTTTTTTCAGTTATTCAAGAAAGAGAAAAATCCTGAAGATAATGTGAAGAAATAGTTTGCTTCTTGTCAACTACAGCAGTAACATTTCCTGACTAAATCTTGCACTGAAAGGTAATTTTAAAGATATACTCTATGCATATTTTGTGGGAAGTCAGTTGAATAAAATTTGAGAAGTACTGTATGTCTTTTTTTTATTACTGCATTTAAAGCTTCCACCTTGCAGTTAGAAAAAGAATATGGTAGGGTATGTTTCAGTTAGAAAAAGCATATGATAGGGTGGACAGGGTAACAGTGTGGAAGAGGTTGCAAATGTATGGAATAAGTGGTAGGTTGTGAAAACCTGTAAGACTTTGAGAATGAGGTTCAGGTTATGGTATGGCATATAGAAAGGACAAAAGAATGCAAAAAGGAGAGTCAGAGAATGGGCAGGTTTTTATCAGCAAATTTTGCTGAGAATAAGCAATGGCTTTGGAGAAAAATCCAGGTTAAGAAGCCTGGAGAGCAAATGGACTTGGCAGTTAAAAACAAAAGAGTGAAGATGTTAGATGGGAAGGTGATGGAAAGACAGAGAGAATAATTTAAAGAGTTGCTAAATGTTATTGAGGCCAGTGGCACTTGCGAAGATCTACATCTTAATCACAACACCCTTTAATATGCTGCATGGCCTAAATTTTGGCTTGGACATAAGAGAATGGGTCTGTGCAGTGGGTGTGCACAGTACATATAAAAATAATCCTGCCCCCCACAGTCCATAATGGGAACAGCTAACCTCTGGCCTTATGTTTGGTTTAAATTAGATAATTTGAGGCATGCTAGTGAAATGGAGATGATTTTGGTCAAAGTGAAAGTGGCTTGAAATAGGTTTTTATGTGGTGGAAATATTTTATTTTTGATGATTTTCTTGAGGAAGGGTAGGGGCCCCATTACCTCCCCCTCCTGGTCTGTTTTATGGCGTTTTACTAGATTTACTGCAGTTACTCGGATGGCCTAAACCATGATCCTGGTTATATTTTATTCCAAGATATAGGGTAAAACTTCAATATTTTTGTTCGATGATATTCAAAATGGCCAAATTACTGCCTTTTGTGCACTATACAGAAAATTATATTTTCCAGTATATAAGGTGCTATCCCCCCCACCAATTCTTACAAGCATATTCTGGGAAAAATAGTAGTTGCAGTATTGCACTTGCTTATGTGCACAGCATATCTGAAAGAGGTGGGGCTTGCACAGCCTGTCGTCTGCTCTACCACCACTAACCACTACAGCATGGCCACCTGTTGTTTGCCAACGACTACTTTGGAATTATTAACTCTAGAAGCTGGTTTGCTTATTGTACATGTATACTGGAAATATGTAAATTATAATATATAATACAGTAAGCATCTGATAAAATGGACCTCCAAAAGTGGATATTGGCTAAAACAGACAAAAAGTCTGGTCAGAGAAAGGCTCAACATGGGGTATGATTAAATTAGCCATGAAGAGCTATCCTGTCTGGACATGCATTTTATAAAATGTACCGACCCTGCTTAATCACAGGTTTGCGCAATCCAAGGTTTATCCTGGACACGTCTGTTTTCATTGTTCCTGGGCAGCAGAGTCATTGACTGCTCAGTCAGCTTGTTATTGTCTGCGTGTGCTCAGACATCATTGTCACTTTGTCTCCAATTTTCCCCTGGATTTACAATGTTTTTAATCATTTTATTAAAGTACTGTGTAGTGTTATTAACAATGGCCTCTAGAGCATGTGATGGGGCCAAGAAATGTGTGACCTTAACTATTAAGCAGAAACTTAAAAAAGTAATATAAAAGCTGGAGGCTGGCATTTCTGTGGCCTGGGTGTGTGAGGAGAATGGTGTAGGAAAATAGTGTCTGAGATTCTTAGAAGCAGGAAAAAGCTTAGACAATATGCTATGAAGTAGTGTAGATGCTAGCTAGTAAGCCCAAGGCATCTACTTATCCTCAGCCACCTACATCTGGTGAACTATTTACATCATGCCATCTGCATATCCCATGCCATCTGCAATGTTATTGCTGTTGCTTTACAACTCCTCTGACTCAGAATAATTTATTCTGGGTCACTAAACCACATGGGAGTACTGTGTTATACATTTGTAAGCTTGTCTATCCACCAGTAGAGTACGAAAAATTACTGTTCTGTACTCGACTGTGCTGTACTTTTTAATTTTTTCTTTTCAAGTACATTTAGTGGTAATAATGTATTATGCTCCAGTTTAGTCTGTCTGATGGTCCATCAATACAGCAGACTAAGTCTTGTTTTATTGGGTGTCTATCCATATAGTTATTATTATTTATTTTATTAGCACACTGGCCAATTCCCACCAAGGCAGGGTGGCCCAAAAAAGAAAAACTTTCACCATCATTCACTCCATCACTGTCTTGCAGTTTTTAAACTGCAACATTAACACCCCTCCTTCAGAGTGCAGGCACTGTACTTCCCATCTCCAGGACTCAAGTCCAGCCTGCCGGTTTCCCTGAATCCCTTCATAAATGCTACTTTGCTCACACTCCAACAGCACGTCAAGTATTAAAAACCATTTGTCTCCATTCACTCCTATCAAACACGCTCACGCATGCCTGCTGGAAGTCCAAGCCCCTCACACACAAAACCTTCCTTACCCCCTCCCTCCAACCTTTCCTAGGCCGACCCCTACCCCGCCTTCCTTCCACTACAGACTGATACACTCTTGAAGTCATTCTGTTTCGCTCCATTCTCTCTACATGTCCGAACCACCTCAACAACCCTTCCTCAGCCCTCTGGACAACAGTTTTGGCAATGCCGCACCTCCTCCTAACTTCCAAACTACGAATTCTCTGCATTATATTCACACCACACATTGCCCTCAGACATGACATCTCCACTGCTTCCAGCCTTCTCCTCGCTGCAACATTCATCACCCATGCTTCACACCCATATAAGAGCATTGGCAAAACAATACTCTCATACATTCCCCTCTTTGCCCCTAAGGACAAAGTTCTTTGTCTCCACAGACTCCTAAGTGCACCACTCACCCTTTTCCCCTCATCAATTCTTTGATTCACCTCATCTTTCATAGACCCATCCGCTGACACGTCCGCTCCCAAATATCTGAATACATTCACCTCCTCCATACTCTCTCCCTCCAATCTGATATCCAATCTTTCATCACCTAATCTTTTTGTTATCCTCATAACCTTACTCTTTCCTGTATTCACTTTTAATTTTCTCCTTTTACATTTTTTATTTTATTATCACACTGGCTGATTCCCACCAAGGCAGGGTGGCCCGAAAAAGAAAAACTTTCACCATCATTCACTCCATCACTGTCTTGCCAGAAGGGTGCTTTACACTACAGTTTTTAAACTGCAACATTAACACCCCTCCTTCAGAGTGCAGGCACTGTACTTCCCATCTCCAGGACTCAAGTCCGGCCTGCCGGTTTCCCTGAATCCCTTCATAAATGTTACTTTGCTCACACTCCAACAGCACGTCAAGTATTAAAAACCATTTGTCTCCATTCACTCCTATCAAGGAGACAAATGGTTTTTAATACTTGACGTGCTGTTGGAGTGTGAGCAAAGTAACATTTATGAAGGGATTCAGGGAAACCGGCAGGCCGGACTTCGAGTCCTGGAGATGGGAAGTACAGTGCCTGCACTCTGAAGGAGGGGTGTTAATGTTGCAGTTTAAAAACTGTAGTGTAAAGCACCCTTCTGGCAAATTCATCCACCAACCTCTGCAACTTCTCTTCAGAATCTCCTAAGAGCACAGTGTCATCAGCAGAAAGCAACTGTGACAACTCCCACTTTATGTGTGATTCTTTATCTTTTAACTCCATGCCTCTTGCCAAGACCCTCGCATTTACTTCTCTTACAACCCCATCTATAAATATATTAAACAACCATGGTGACATCACACATCCTTGTCTAAGGCCTACTTTTACTGGGAAATAATCTCCCTCTTTCCTACATACTAACTTGAGCCTCACTATCCTCGTAAAAACTCTTTCACTGCTTTCAGTAACCTACCTCCTATACCATACACCTGCAACATCTGCCACATTGCCCCCCTATCCACCCTGTCATACGCCTTTTCCAAATCCATAAATGCCACAAAAACCTCTTTAGCCTTATCTAACTATAGGCCAATATTAAACTTACCATTGCTATCCAAAATCTTCGAGAAACTCGTGCACAGGAGACTATATTCATTTATAACGTCACAAAACATACTCAGCCCCTGCCAATTTGGATTCAGGAAAAATAAAAGCACTAATGATGCAATTATAAAAATGCTAGACCTGCTTTACACAGCATTGGAAAATAAGGAATATCCGCTAGGAATTTTTATTGACCTAAGAAAAGCGTTTGACTCCACAAACTTGACCACTATGGTATAAGAGGCCATGCACTTGCATATTTTAAATCCTACCTTTCTAATAGGTATCAGTATGTCACCATTAAAGACACAGCCTCATCTATACGGCCACTTGATACTGGAGTTCCACAGGGAAGTGTCCTTGGACCCCTGCTCTTCCTCATTTACATCAATGATCTTCCAAACATATCCCAACACCTGAAACCCATTCTCTTTGCTGACGACACGACTTATGTCATCTCCCACCCTAATCTTGCCACCCTCAACACCATTGTTAATGAGGAGCTGCTCAAAATATCGACTTGGATGGCAGCCAATAAACTTACACTTAACACTGGCAAAACCTACTATATTATGTTTGGTAGCAGAGCAGGTGTTGCGCAACTTAACATTAAGATCGACAACACTCTAATTGCCAGACATAATGAGGGCAAATTCCTTGGCCTGTACCTCGACAACAACCTAAATTTCAGCACCCATATCCAACACATAACAAAAAAAGTATGCAAAACGGTGGGGATCCTCTCCAAGATACGATACTACATACTGCAAACTGCCCTTCTCACACTATACCATTCACTTATATATCCATACCTCACCTATGCTATCTGTGCTTGGGGTTCAACTGCAGCAACACACCTAAAGCCAATAATAACCCAACAAAAAGCCGAAGTAAGAATAATCACTAAATCCCATCCCTGGCAACACACCCCCCCACTCTTCATAGATCTTAACTTACTCCCTGTTTAGAACATCCACACTTACTACTGTGCAATCTATATCTACAGGACCTTAA